AATTAGCTTTATATTACAAAATTTTAATTTTTATGCCTGAAAGTTGCTTAAGAATCAATAAGAAAGCCGTCCTAAATAAAGCCTAATTTATAAATCATCAAAAATAGTTTTGAAATTAAAGGTTTATGTAATTAATATTAACTAACTAATTAGCTATATTTTAATAACAGTATCTTGATTTAATTTTTTTGTATTTTTGGTTTTGTAACGGGTCGGGAGGAGAGATTATTAGGTGCGGAGTACAGACGGGGAGAACTGTCTGCACACTAGTATAAAATCCAGCTAGGTACCATTCGGTACCGCTGGGTACCGCTGGGTACCACTAGGTACCTCTTGGTACTTTGTGTCTGTGCAGACAGTGCTATCCCCATTTGCACTCCGCACCTAATAATTTTTCGGCCGGGAGACCCTGCCATTCCCCATATTTGGCTATATATTATAAATTATCCCATTTTCTTCTAAAAAAGTTTATCAAACATTTGCTTTATTTTTTTATCTTTTTCGTTTGATTGAGATTGGTAACAACGATATTCATAAAAATTAAACTGAGATTTCTTATGGCTTATTTATTTATTTTGATTATTAGAACATCGTTACAATTTTCAAACTTGATTTTTCACTTATTTATTTTTTCTTAGATTAAATAATTGAAATATTTTTTTTAATAATAATAATGCACTCTTATACGAAAAATTTGCATACAATATATTTCAAATATATTTTTATGGATGGATCAATCAAATATGAGAGAGTAAATAAAAATGTATATGTAATCCACAATATATGCAGATGACCTTAATATTTAAGTATTTTTCAATGGAGTTCTCTTTCTTTTTTTTTTTTTTAAAGAAATTTTTGTTGCCTGATTGGGCTTGGGCTCTAGCAATGTTTCTAGTCAACTGCTTCTAGCACCGCCTTTTAACAGCTGCTTTAACATTTAAAGCCCATACAAGCCCAGCCAAGCCCAAGTTTCCTAATTAATTGGCTGGGCTTGAATTCAACTGCAATCAAATCCCTCAACCTAAATGAGAGTAACTCTAAAAGCTAGTTAAAATAATTTATAAAAATATTTTTAAGAATATTATAATAAATATTCACTTTGTATTGCATATATATTAGAGGTTCATAACTTCATGGTCTTTACCAATTGTTCTAAGTGCATTTGTTATATGATACAAGCAAATATAGACTTATGCATATACAACATAAAAAATGTTGTGTCCTGGAATATTCGCGGCTGTAGAGAAATATATAGTTTAACATCTTAACATTGCACAAAGATCTAGCACGCAATCAGATAAGAGAGATGGTGCATCATTCATAAGAGACACCTGAGGTTTTATGTGGAAACGTCTAAAAAGGGGGAAAAACCACGGGGCCTGTCCCAGTTTGAATGAATCCACTAGTATTTGCAATCGATTACAAATGAGGCCCTTCTTAAAGAGAAGGCATTGGCTTGATGTCACAAATGTACATCATATATAGCACATTACATTGTGGTAATTACAATAATCATCATAGACATGTTTGTTTGGTTGGAAGGGTCATAGTCGGCACGAGACAGTGGTCCAAAAGACTGTAGTTGGCAGGAGACTGGGGTTAGAAAGACCGTTGTCTAGCGATGGAGGTCGGAAGGACCGTAGTAGACGACGGAGGTCGAAAAGACCATAGTCGGCAGAATACAGCGACCCGAAAGACCATAATTGGTAGAAGACCGGGGTCAAAAACACTAGTAGAAGGGCAATAATCAGATAGAAGTTCGAGCATCAGGTAATGGTTAGGCAAATTTACGGGTATCAGGTGATGGTCCGATAGAAGTCCAGGCCTCAGGTGGTGGTTCGGTAGAAGTCCGAAGCTTAGGTGGTGGTCCGATAGAATTTTGGGCGTTAAGTAGTGGTCCAGCATAAGTACGGGCCTCAGGTGGCGGTCCGATAGAAGTCCAGGCCTCAGGTGGCAGTCCTGCAGAAGTTCGGGCGTTAGGTGATGGTCCAATACAAGTCCGAGCATCATGTGGTGGTCCGATAGAAGTCTGGGCATCAGGTGGTGGTCCGACAGAAGATCGGGCCTCAGGTGGCGGTCCGGTAAAAGTCCGGGCGTCAGGTAGTGGTCCGGCATAAGTTCGGACCTCAACTGGTGGTCCGATAGAAGTCCGAGCCTCAAGTGGTTGTCCGGCACAAGTCCAGGCCTCAGGTGGCAGTCCGACAGAAGTCCTGGCGTCAAGTGATGGTCTAGGGAGCACAGGGCCTCAAGTGTTGGTTCGACATAAGTAAAGCCCTTAGTTGGTGGTCTGGCGGAGTTCAGGGCCTTAGGTGGTGGTCTAACGAAGGTGAGGGCCTCAAGTGGTGGTTCGACGATGGTGAGGGCCTCAAGAGGTGGTCCGACGGAGCAACAACGTCAGGCGGTAGTCCGGTGGAGGCGAGGGCCTCAAGTAGTTGTCCGGCGGAGGTGAGGGCCTCAAGTGGTGGTCCGGCGGAGGCGAGGGCCTCAAGTTGTGGTCCGGTGGTGTAACGACGTCAAGCGGTGGTCCGGAAGAACTCCGGCGGTGGTCGAGGAGCTTCTTCCTTATCTTCCTTCTCTTCTTGCTTGGAGCCTCTCTTTCAAGAGAAACGAGGGGTCTATTTATAGATTTATGGAGTGGCATGACCCATAAATAGGTGAAAGATCAATGGTAAATAGGGAGTGGTTGGATGGACGGCTGATGTTGAATCCCTTGATCATGGTTCGTTTGATGGACATTCAACCATTTGAATGTCTTAGTGATGTCAAATTTTGGTGATCTTGGGCTCGTTGGATTCGTCTCGTCAAGCCGTTGGATTTGACTATATGCACGTTATGTTTGGAAACCGTTTGGTAATCCAAATTGTGGTTCGAACCTTCCAACAATGCTTCTAACCCTTGATTTGGACCCGTTTGGGCTCGGATTTGGTGTTGTTGGCTCGGATTTGGTGTTGTTGGGTTTGTATTCTCGAGACGCTCAATTCGACTATAAGTTTGCTGAAATCGGAGTTCGGATGGTCCCAATATTAATTTCGGAAGTTTCCATCTTGATTTTGCATTGAGATTTGTGCCCGATCAAGATAAATTTTTGATGACATATCAAAAAATAATAAGATAAAATAAAAAATGAAGAATATCTTTCATAATCAGATAATTTTATGACAATGAACAATAAGTATTATTTCATATATGGATATGGCAATAAAATATATTATTTTCAATTGCTCATTTTATTATTGAAGCTTCTAAACAAGTTTAGTAAAATGAAAGTTATTAGAAGCAAATATTGATTTTAAACACAACAAACTTATTCAAAGTATGATAAAAATAATATTTTATTTTCATCATAAAATGAGTGTAAATAAAATCACTATTTTTAAATATATTAAATGTTAATATCATTGATGACATGAATATCTATTCATATTTATCACGTGTCAGTCTTATTTTGATATTAGGATAGGGACAATATAAGTACTAAAGGATTTCTAGAAAATCCCTTTAATTAAGAGCAAATTAACTTGGCATTTTGCATGCTCCTACGGGTTAATGTAATAAAATGGAAGGTTGCGAGGTTACAACCCTTAGATTAAAGCTTCGTTTGGGACGGTTTTTTTATTGCTTTTTAAAACGGAGTTTTAGTAAAAAATAAAAAATTTTATACTAAAACTCCGTTTTAGAAAGCAGTAAAAAGCCGTCCCAAATGAAGCCTAGGTCTATGAAATGTTGAATATCACGTATAGGAGCTAATTGAGTTATTTCGTCATCAATTTCAGAAAAAAGGGAAAAATTTTATAATGAGGTTTGGAAGAGTTTGAGCTTCTTAATTGATGAGACTAGGGATGACTCTAAATTAATTATTCTCAGCAAATTCTTCAAGCGATAGAAAAAGCAACACAACCCATGGGAAAGCCAAAGATGAGGTAGTAGGTCATAGCTGAAGCTCATAAGCAACATGGAAGAGCCTAGGGTTGCGGTCCATAAGTTAACTTGGCATGGTTTTAGAGATAACATTCATGGAGTTGTCTTCATCAATGACTAATTTGCTCATTAAATCACTACATGTAATACAAATATCAAGACAGAGATGCACTTTCAAGTTTCAATCATCTTCAACATATGGGAGGAGATAAAGATACAACACATGGCAGCTAATTTGTTAATACATTACTGTTCATCATTCATAAAGAAAGAGTTATCATAATTAGCATACTTATAAGGGCTTTGGTGGGATCATTCTTAGGCAAAGGTTGCTCAATGAAGACAATGACTAATGAGAGACTTCAAATATGTGATGGGGCTTTAGTTTCTTTTTTGGGGGAATAAATTTTAGAAGTTAAAGATGAAGAGGTGGGTTGGAAATAATGGTTGAGGAGGTTGTTCTCATATAGTTGTAATTATGCTTTCCATTTTTGTTTGACCTTTTTTTTTTTTTAAGAACAGGGTGTCTATCTGCTGCCACACCTCTTAGAAGGTGCTTGACGGCGTAACTAATCCCTCAGCGAGCCTACTAGCAACCAGCTCCACAGGTATAGGACTCGCAGTTATTATCTCCCAACTTAAGGGGTCAAGCCGCATGAGAGGGGATTCGAACATGAGTTAGGATTTGACCCAATTTTAAAAGCACGATAATAAGGTTGTTCCCATGACCATACATGTGACCCTCAAATGAATGTTAGCAACAATTTTAAATTCCCATTGAACAAGAACCTATGCATTCTTGCTCTCTTGAAAAAGGAAAAATAAAAAAATTTTATCAAAATATCATAATTAAATTTAAGTTTTTGGATTTAATTTCAGATAAATAAAATATAAATTATTTATGTATGAGACACATCTCTAAAGAGATTCAAATGTTTTAAAATTCATAATATTATTTTTTAATTATAGTACATTCAAATACATTTTTTCCCCTAATTTGATGCACCTAAATGGATCATAATATTGTTGAGACATATCTAGCCCAATAACCAATTTGAAGGACATTAAAAATGTAAAATTTATAAGTATAAATATCAATTTTATTCAAATAATAGAACATAGCGACACACTACCAAGCAATACCTTCACTTCCAATAATCCAATAAGCGGACACGCGGCGAGCCTGTTCAAGCTAATTCTTCCTGCGAACAAAACACAAACACCTTGCGGGCGGCACCGCACATCGCTATTCAAGATTCGAATGGCGCGACCGAAGTTCCGCCGGCGTCTGGCCGAGCTTCTCCGACAGCCTCACCACCACCATCTCAAACAGAACGAACATCGCCCCTTCGTACACACTTCCCATCGGTAACCTTAGCTCAGGCGAAGCACCGGACCCCTCCACCTCATCGTCTGCCATCGTCTGCCCCGGAAGGTACGCGACTGCATCCGCCAATAGAGATGCCTCGCTGCCAGATCCCGGCTGCGCGGTAATCAGCACTATCCGAGCTCTAGCTGACTTGGAGACGCGGCAGATGGCATCGACGGTGGAGAAAGAGCCGGGACCAGCGGAGGCGATAAGGAGGTCACCGGCGCCGATGGGAGGGGTTGTGACGTCACCGACGACATAGGCGGAGAGGCCGAGGTGGAAGAGACGCATACAGAGCGCCTTGAGCATGAGCCCTTCCCGGCCGACACCGTGCACGAAGACTTTCTTGGATGCGGTTGCCGCGCGGGCGATCTCTTCGACGAGGACTTCGAGAGGCGGTGGGAGGAGGGAAAAGGCGGCGGCGGCGGCCGCGGAGTATGGTGGAGGTGGGCCGAACACGGAGCGGATCTGACCGCAGATTTGGGCCGCCATGGCGGCGGATGGATCGTTGCTCATAGCTTCTTGCCCGGTCGCACGGAGAAAGTTTTATAAGGACTTGCGGTTTTTTCCACTTATCTTCTTTGTTATTTGTTATTTAGGATTGAAGGTGGATCATGTGGTTGGAAGAATTTATTTTATATTTTAATTTTATATAAAAATTCAGCACACTCAAATATAAGATGTGCATTTATACTAGTAAAAATAAAATGTTGTTTATAACTTTTTGAGAAAATCATTTTAATAAATTTTATCAAAATCTAAAACAATCAATCAAACGATCAATGTAAATATCTTTTATTATATATCATTTATACATCATTTGAGTAGCCATGTTATATTTGATTCATCTAGTAGCTCGATTTGGCTATATACATGCAAATTTTGAAGACCATTTGATTATTTAATTAATATTCATAAGTTTTTTTTTTTAAATATGCTTCAAGTGATTGAGTTTATTTAAGCTTAGAATGGATCATTTATGATGTCATTGGATTCTTCATCGAGACGTTCAATTTGAGTATGAGTTTGTTAAAATTGAAAATCGGATGGTCTTGAATTTAATTTTAAAAAAATAATCCGTATATTATCTCAAAATTAGTGTTTATCAAATGAAATTTTGAGATTTATCAATAACTTTAAATTGTATTACTTAAAAAGGGAATCATATGAAGTCGTTAGCTGAACTCATTAGTTGTATCGTTCCTATCCATTTTTTACAAATTGAAACGTTCAATTTAAGTATGAGTTTGTTAAAATTGAAAATCGGAGGGTCTTGAATTTAATTTTAAAAAAATAATCCAAATATTATCTCAAAATTAGTGTTTATCAAATGAAATTTTGAGATTTATCAATAACTTTAAATTGTATTACTTAACAAAAGGGAATCATATGAAGTCGTTAGCTGAACTCATTAGTTGTATCGTTCCTATCCATTTTTTACAATTAACACAACTCATTTTGGTCTGTTGGTGGGAAGCTTAGGCTACCAACTAAGAGGTCTTGAATTCGAGTATTGTGTACGTGATGGGTGTGTGAATCTACTTTAATTGGCCCAAAGACCCCCAAAAAAATGACAATTAGAATACTTTTCTAAAACTGCCACTTAAAATAATAATAACCCAAGACAAAAAAAAAAAACAGAACAGCATAAGAATAACCTCCATGAGGCTTATATAACATGAAATGCCAAATTATTTACAGACTTGTGTGTTTCTAGATGATAGCCTTAGACACATTTAACACTTTATTTAGTGGACTTTCTGGACTTGAACCATAGGTTATCAACTCATGTGACTTAATTCTTAGGTCTCATGCTTGCATCTTGAGGCCGATAACCATACGGGTTATTGCTTGCCCAATTCCACTGGTCTCTGCACATCTCTTCAATCCCATATTTTGCTCTGAAAGGGAATAATTAAACACGAACATACAATATTATCAATTAACTACTCATTTATAAACTATCAGGTATCATTGGCAATAGGGCTGTCAAAATTGGGTCACGGGTCAGATTGGGTCCAATCCAAAACTGATCCGGGACTATTTGACCCGACTTGCAAACGGGCTGATTTCTCGGACCCGAACCCGACCCGCATATTTTTATCTTCCGATTAAAATTTGCGAAATCTGACTTAATAAATGCATTAAAGAAATAACTACAGCACATATTTCCTATTTTTTTCAAAGGTACAACTGAAGGTGGAAAAGACATCAAATAATATCAAATAATGATGATGATATTTGTTAAAATGGTCAAGCAATATAGTAGTTCATTAAGCAGCAAAGAACAGAGGGATTTACCTCCAGCCAAGTTCCTTTTCAGCCTTTTCAGTAGAAGCATAGACTGCTGTAGCATCACCAGGTCTCCTTGCACACAGCTTTATTGGAATTTTCTGAAGAGTTTTTTGCAAATTGAATAGAAGAATCGATTTTTATTTTTATTATTATTGATGAAAAAGTATAGAAAATAAACTAGATACATTTTTTGGGACATTTAGGTTAATTGAAGCAAACTCATACACACATCGCATACACAAAGACTCGAACCCAAGACCTGTTAGTTGGTAGCCTAAGCTCTCAACCAACAGGCCAAGGTGACATGATTTTTGGTTCTTACCTTGCCTGAGGCTTTCTCAAAAGCAGCAACCATTTCAAGCACAGATGTTCCACGGCCAGTCCCCAAATTGTAGGCAACACAGCCTGCAACAACAAAAAAACATATATGACACTAACAAGATAGTAAAGTTAACGCAAATGGGAAAGAAACCAATGATAGAGAACAGGAAAGGATTACCAATGTCCTCTGTAACGAAAATTTTTCGAAGCGCTGCTACATGACCATCAGCCAAGTCCATAACATGAATGTAGTCTCGAATCTGATTAACATGGTGTATGAAAAGTTGATAAACTCAGTAGTTCGAGTTTCTCTTTTTAATTAGACTCAAAAAGATGATATCGCATAAGACAAACTTCTAAAGAAACAAAGATGATGGTGATGGTGATGGTGGCTAAATCTCGTTTAGCATGAACCACAAATCATGAATATCAAAATTTTAATGCTTTTATTAGCCTATTGGACTTCTTTTGTCAATTATAATCCGTGAAGCCTTTGTTATTAATTAGTAAAAATGGCCTTCAAGCAAAATGGAGATAGGAATAAACATTTATGGATTAGAATACTTTCCCATTTGTGCCGTTAGCTTTCCCACGATGGGTAATTGTGCAAAATGCAGTTTTCAGATAACTAGAGAGGATCCAAATCCAGATGTTCGTCTGTGCCTCTTAGAATTATAAATCATAATATTCACAAAAACACAAATTGAAGAAGCGAAGGATTCTAAATGTAAGAACTCGCACATCCAGAGCACTGAAATTATATAGAAAATAAACTAGCAAAGCAATGCCATATGAACAACCAGCACCACACGAAATCTTGAAGAAAATTCTAAGAAAACAAAGTGTTGACGAGAATTTACCGCACTGCCATCCTTTGTTGGATAATCATAACCATAAACATTTAGCTCAGGCAACCTGCCCACAGCAACTTGTTGAATATAAGGCATGAGATTATTAGGAATACCCTTAGGATCTTCCCCAATCTGGCCACTTTCATGAGCAGCAACTGGGTTGAAGTATCTTAAGAGTATAATTCTCCATTCAGGATCAGCCTTCTGAATATCACGAGCTATCTCCTCAAGGAAGAGCTAATGCACACAAAAAACATGTTAAGGAAACCTTAAAGTCAAAATGAACTCAATCTATTGCAGCAGTTAGGGTAAAACGAAAGAAATCTGTGAATTGGTCATAGTAGGAAGTCATCAGCGTACCTTAGTCCGACCGTATGGGTTCATTGCCTTCAACTCAAAATCTTCGACACATGGAATCTTTTCAGGTTGCCCATAAACAGTTGCAGATGAGGAGAACACCATCTAGGTTTGAGAGAAAAAATTATAATATGCAAGGCCAGTGGGTAACTAGTGATAACTAATTTATAGCAAAATAAGTGGACAATATAGTTAAATCCCTGTAGAGCCAAAGAGCCACAAATACATAAGAATGAATGAAGGAAAAAAAAGAAGCTTAAAAAGAAATAAAACTATAGAAATGCTAAAAAAACACATTAGAAAGAATTCCAAAACAGGGGGAAAAATCTTATAGAGTATTCTATCAAATTTGAACTTTTAATGGCATCAAGATAATCAATATAAGATAGGAAAATTCATTTGAAAATGGTGTTTTTTTACATATCAAGGGAATTGGAAAATGTTTTACTCCCAACTCAGCATAAAAACTCTCTTAAGTTTGAACAGGTGACGCATGATATATCCAAGACACTTGCTATACATTGAAAGGATAAAGACATTTTTTTAGGCTAATTTTTGGGCACCTTAGAATTACTCTAATAAAAAATATAGCTAGAAAATGGATATAAGAGGAATGAATGGAAATATCATACCTTCTTGCATCCATACTTCGTCATAAATTCAAATAAATTCAGTGTACCGATCAAATTGTTGTTGTAATACAAATGAGGTCTAGCAACACTCTCCCCAACAGCCTTCAGTCCAGCAAAGTGGATAACAGCATCGAAACTATCCAATAAAAAATGAATAAAATTTCATTAAAAAAGAAATAAACTGCCCCAATCCTATCTATGTCATGCTGTAAATCTCAACACACGACATGAATTTAGCCCTTTTAATGCATCGGATCATGATCTGATCAACTAAAAATTCAATCCATCCCAGAAAAAAAGCCATCCCAAAAGAAGCATTGGTGAATAGAACACCGTGGATAAAACTAAAAGTTTACCACTCCAAACTCAAATTTCAAAACATAAAAATCATTGAACAGAAAGAGAATTCGGCAAATAAGAAACAAAAGAGAAGAAAATGATAATAAAAAGAATCTTACCTGTTCTGAGAAAAAACTACTTCCAAATCATCCTTGTTCCGCAGATCACCCTACGATCAATAATCCAGAGTGGGTGAAAAATGAAACAGCGATTGACACACGAAAAGCTCAAAACAGAAGGGAATGAAATGAAAATACCAAATAGAATCGGAGGTTCCCAGACAGCTCTGTACCAGCGATGCTCCTCACGCGATCGACCGCCTCCATCACGGAGTTGTCGAGGTTATCCAAGATTGTAACCCTAAACCCCTCTTTCAGGAGCTGCAACACCGTATGGGTTCCGATGAATCCCGACCCGCCCGTCACCAATATGCTCTGCATGCGCCCTTCCGATCCCATCGCCGCCCGGAAACCCACTCAAGAACCGCTTCTCTCTCTGCCTCTCTTCCTCTCTTCGCCCGACTTAATATATATTTAGAAGAAAAGGTGGAAAGGGAGCGAGGGATAAGGCTGGTGGAGTAGAATATACGATCGAATCAACGACGAGTTGCAGAGGGCGGAGGAAGCGGGCGGGAAGGAAACCGGAGCGGATACGGATACTTATCAGGTCGTTATTCCGGCGGTGGTCCACCGCTTCTTTTGTACTATGGTTATATTTATATAATATTTAGATCTGTTGGGAGTTGGGACTGTAATATTTTATGATTTTAAATTAATTAATAATTTTATTAAAGCTACTACAGGTTAATAATAAAAAAATAATATCATCATATAAAATTAAAAAATAATAATAAAAAAAATCACATATGAAATTATATATATTTCTTTCAATATAATTAATATTTATTATTTATATATAAATGAATGAAACAGTGATGTTTTGTATTTATTTATTTTTAATTATGTTAATTTTTTTAAAATGTTAAATGTCAAAATATAAATTAATGTAAGTGAGATTAAGACTTCGTTTGAGACAGCTTTTTTATTGTTTCTTAAAATAATTTTTTTCTACAAAAAATTAATTTTTATGTACTACAAAACTATTCAATAAGAAGGTGTCTCAAATGAAGTTAAAGTCCATAATTTTAACAATTTTTGAAATTACTAGACAAAAATATTGAAAATTATCGCTAAATGTTTGGAAGCAAATTCCATCAATATTACATTTGTTGTGTCCAGGAATATTCGCGACGATAGAGAAAAATAAAGTTTAGCGTCTTAGTATTGTACGAAGATCCGGCACGCAAGCAGAAAGAGAGAGATTAAGACACCCGATCTTTTAAGTAGAAAAATAAAGGATGGCTCATATTGATTCCCCCGATTGTAGATAGTTTTTCAACTGTTTATGTGCCTTAACGATGTCAGAATTCACAGATCTTGGGCTCGTTGGATTCGTCTCGCCGAGCCGCTCAGTTTGACTATCAGCATGCCATATTTGGAAATCATTTTATCATCCAAATAATGCTTTGACCCTTTCAAATATGGTCCAGACCCCTGATTCAGACCCATTTGGGCTTGGGTTGGACCAATTTTGTTGTTGTTTGGTTCGTCTTTTTGAGATGTTCAATTTGACTATAAGTTTGCTGAAATGAAATTCAGATGATCCCAAATTTAATTTTGAAAGTTTCCAACTTGAATATGCCTCGAGATTCGTGCATGATCAAGGCAATTTTTGCGGACGTATCAACATTTATTATTTAATATTCAAGAATAAAAAAAAATATTTTCATATCTTGCAATGTAATTTATCACAATGCTTGTGGTTGGTGCCTAAAATATTAATTGCTTCAATAGTAACAATCCAACTGAAATTTTCTTTTTATGTTGAGTGCAATTAATTTTATTTTGTATTTTAATTTAGATCAGATTATTTGATATTGATGCCTAAAATATCAATTTCTTCAATAGCAATTAACCAACTGAAAGGGCTTTTGGTGTTAAGTGCAACACACTAAAAGATGGACTTATTACCTTTTTTTTTTTTGTAAGAATTTGTTGATACCTCCAATATATTGCAAAATATGTGTTTGAGAACTTTAATTTGATGATAAAATGAATGATTGTGGCTATTATAAGTAAATTGAACAATTTCTTTAATAATTGGGATTTTTTCTTTTCTACGAAAGGGCTGAAAGGAAAGGTTTTAAACATCAATTGATTCGATCCAAATTTGCCCTCTTTTTTATTGAATTGTTGGTATTGATAAAAAAATATGTAAAAAGAAGGTTTTTCTTTTTTTTGCAAATGGTTACCTAAGTAAAATAGGATGAATTTGTAAAAAAAATGATAGTTTCAAGGAAGTTTTAGATGGATTATTTATTTAGGAAAAATAAAGAAATACTTGTGAAAAAAAAGAGGTTTGTATATTTGTGACAATAATTATTGGTCATAGTTTACGAACGCAAGCAGGGAGGACCCTTGGCCTGCAACACCCGACGAGCTAGACCGATGGAATTAAGATCCGAGATAACAGTACAACATGATCGACATGATTGATCAACAAAATTAGATTACACATAGAACTAACAATTTATCCCCATTTTTCAGAGTGAATTTCATGATCTGGTGTGGTTCCTTGATTTTTTTTTCCAGTTTTGAGTTTTTCACGTTAAATCTTATTTTGTTGTTCATTTCTATTATTTTCTTTTCTTTTAATTTGTTTTGTTGCCTGTTTTTCTTTCCAACAATGCATAATTTTTTTTCCCCTTTATAACCCTTTTATTACATTTTTTATTTTCTACTTTGATGGTGCAGGATGCCTACAGTCATTATGAGGATATTGAACAATTTATGCATGTGGAGAAAATGAAAATCGTTGCAAGCTTCTTAAAGTTGAAGGAAAGTGAGGGGGGCATTTTCTTCGCATACAATTAAGACCATATATAGCGTATTTATTCTGCTAAGTTATGCTTCAGGTCTCAAGTGGCCTGCTTGCTCCTTCCACAACAACCTTCGATTGAAGAATTTACTGATCAATCATATAGTGGCGAATATAACATATCAATAAACATAGAAAATTTGCGGCGGTAGAGAAGTGATAAAGTTTAACATCTTAGCGTTGTACGAAGATCCAACACACAAACAGATGAAAGAGATGGTGTAGCGTTCACAAAAGATAACAGAGTTTCTTGAAACGCTACACCATCTCTTTCATCTGTTTGTGTGTTGAATCTTCGTACAACACTAAGACGTTAAACTTTATCACTTCTCTACCGCCGCAAATTTTCTAAGACGCAACACATATCAATATGAAGATTTATATTAAGGCTTCGTTTGGGATGGCTTTGTTGGTGCTTTTTATAACAGCTTTTTAATATAAAATTTTGTTGTTTTAAAAAAATAATAATAAAGTTTTCTCAAATGAAGCCTAAATAACGATATTCCAGAAATTTAATAATGATTGATCTATCCATATAAAGAGAGTTTTAGCAAACTATTTGATGATGGAATATAAAAGCAACAGAAAGCTAAAGTTTGCTGATGCGTGGGAGAGTTGGAGTCGTGGATGTCACTATCATGAAGGCCATGCCCACCACGGCCCTCAGCCTTGTGGAAGGGATATTTTTTCAGTATTTCTACGCAATTTTATTCATTTCATCCACAAATGAGCTATAATGATTATCAGCATAAGTCAATGACAAGCAATGAAAATCATCAACCTTGGGCGACAATAAGGTTTCGTTTGGGATGGCTTTCTTATTGCTTCTTGAAGCAGCTTTTTAATTAGTACAAAATTTAAATTTTGTACTAAAAAGCTGTTTCAAGAAGCGATAAGAAAGTTGTCTCAAACGAAACCTAGTATTAGAAAACGAGTAACAATAATTGTCAACGGTACTCCACAAAATAATCATTGGAGGATTGGTGGCGATAATTGTTGAAGTTGAAGGATGGGTCATTATCCATTAAGGTGTAAATGTAAATGTCCGAAGAATATATGATCTATGCTTGAATGAATGAACTCAAGTCATCCAATGAAATGATTCGGGATTTTGGATAACATTATCAAAAGCCCACTCCAAAAAATTTTATTTAACCTCACATTCTTCATATAAGGTAAAAATGAAATTGGGGAGATCTTAAAGATATAAAAGTTTCTAAGGCATTGTCCATCATTTGATGCCTACAATCATTATGAGTAATCAAAATTGTATAATTATCATCAACAAAGTATTTTGGTCACTCCACCACCATTACTTAATCATCATCGTCTAATGATCATCGTTTGACAGCCATCATTGGCCTCCACTATTTTTCAAGTATTCTTTACTACTACAACTACAGGAGGCCAAGCTAATATTTAAAACTTTCTAATTTCATCCTCTTCCAATAAAGGAAAAAATGAATATTTATAATCTCAATTTACATAATGGTTTATATCACGATCTGGGCTAAACGTTATGATTTTCTTTTTTTTCTAGGATATTTCAGTTAAAAAAATTTATTATCTCTTATGAACTTTTCTTATTGATATGCATGAGTATCTTAATGCAATGCTAAGACAAAAAATTCTCATTTGATTACTACAAATTTTCTAGCAAACAACTAAGCCAACAAGTCTTTTGGAAATAAATTTATTAAAAAAATTAACTCAAATTTCTCTAAAATGCCTTAAATCCCATAAATGACAAAATCTTCAAATTCAGAACCATACTCTCCCGCTCCCAGTCCGCATCCCTCCTTCAGAACTTCCACAAGAACCAGCAGAAAGCACTATTTTGACAGTTGTTAAAGATCCTTTGCATGATTCAATGGAGGACAATGAAACCTACTTCCTTGCTTAGTTGCCACCAAAACGTTCAATGGAGATTGTTTCATCCATTATTCAGTCTGAAAGATTAACTGCCAAAGTGAAGAGTACTAATTTCTATGAATGAGGAAGAACTTGTGCATCCACATTGTCCAGCAAGCTCCAGAAATGTTGATATTGAAGAGTGCAAACCAACAATCTCGCCAGCCATTTCTGTTGAGCTAGAGCATTCCTCTGATACTGAGGAAGTACAGGAATCTGCTTTCAATGATATAGTAGAGCCACTGCCACTAGGTTGTAAAGAAAACCCAAAAGCAATTCAATCTCTACGAGCCTCTTCGTCTAGCTCTCTGCCTCCAACCCTTTCTGCACTACTACAAAGCATCACAAGTGCGGCACTTGTCACAACTTCCTCGACTCAGATCAGCTACAGTATCCCAGGGGAAATCGCTAACTTGGAAAGCCTAATCGTTGCCGATTTCTCGCGCAACAATTTCACCGACCGGATCCCTGACTCAGTTCAGCTACTCTATGGTCTTGTTTCAAACTCATCGCCTCAATTCCTCACGAAGTCAACAACCACAGAAGACCCTATGTATATTCCCCCACTTCAGCTGGTGCGTGGGAAGCTGCTAATAAGAGGAGAATTTGATGATTTTTCGGATGATAAACAAATGCATTGCACAGTGTGCCTGGCTGAAATGCTGAATGCTTATGCTGCGGCATTGCCAAATAACATCCCAACTAAGGAGGCGGCTTTCTTATTGGAGGTATGCAATGGTGTTCATGCCCTTAGCATAGCTAAAATAAATATAAATGATATGGAAGTGTGTGGAAAAGCTACTGGAAGTGGTATTGGGAACGATTTCACTGTAGGTGTGAAAATACCTGGTTTAAATTCTACTAACAAAGCTGATCCAACGCAACGCTCCCAAGCTGTTAGACAAAATGTCTCTGAAAGGTCCGATCCCAAAGTTGTGATTAACGGAGTTGAATTGAACGTAACACATGGAGACAGCGAATGTAGGAGCCAAGCCGCACACTCACAGAGACAGAGAGGTGAGAACTCTGATATTTTTTATTTATTTTTTGAAGGCTATCTTTATATTTGTTGAAGGCATGAATGATAAAGATACATTATCCAAATGGATTTTCTCCATTTGCGAAGCTACATAATCTGTTTGGATTTTCTCCTTAATTGGTGTATAAAATTCATATATTTGCTCCCAGCCAAGTGATATTCCAAATTGTTTGGATTACTGAATATTAAGTTGTTTGACTTCCAAATTCTTGAAAGTTATGAACTAATTGATTGCATAGATAAATTTCTAATTCACCGATGTCATATTCACTTCAATTGCCATTCCAAAATTATTTTATTTCTAAATTGTTATAAAAATCTTAAAAAAAAAAAAAGGATTGGCTGTATTTTCTCAATAATGTGTTTTGTAGCATGGCAAGGTGCCAAGATGGGATTGTCTGTAGACCATGAACTTCCCTTTATCTGTTTTTTTTTTTTTTATCATCCCTTTATCTGTTTATGATGGGAATTTCATGGTAATTAATGTCATAATGGCTCACTGCACTTTAAACAAATTGTTAAGTCCCTCCTTGTGGGGCAAATTACTGTTATAGTTTAATGCGTGTGTGTATAAACTTCTGCATTTATACATAATGTATGTACAAGCTTATACACTTGTACATAGTGGGTGTAGTATTAAAAATAAAAAATAAAAAAAAATAGTGGGTGTAGTATTAGAGCATACAGATAGTGATAGCTAAATCGAGCAAGAAACACTTACACGTGTAGCCTTAAGGGCAAATTCCTGTAATCCAATCCTAGATATACATGTGTATAGGGGTGTCAATAATTGACCCGACCCGACAACCCGACCCGAAACCGACCCGAAAAATCCGGGTTAGGGTCGACCCGTTTAACAAACGGGTCGGGTTCGGGTCTTAACTTTCGACCCGTTTCATAAACGGGTCGGGTCCGGGTCAACCCGGTAACCCGGAATTGACCCGGAATTAACCCGGTTGACTTAAGTTCAACCTTCCCAAAATTAAAATTTGAAGCCTGAAGTTCCCGCTGGCCGCTATCCCTAAAAAAAAAAATCAAGGCTCAGGGCCCGAGGGAGGTCCACTGCTCAATGCTCAGTTGCTCAAGGCTCAATGCTCCTCACTGGCAGTCTGGCTAACTGGCTCACTGCTCTGACATTTCCCAAAAAAAAAAAATTCCTCATGAAGTCACGGTCCTCACTCCTCAGCCCTCACCTTGCTAGTTGCTACCGTTGCAAGCAAGGCTGCGACGGCGACGCCTTGTTCCACGAGACTGCGATGGCGACGACTTGTTCCACGAAACAGCGACTTCGCGGTCCGCAAGCACCAAACACCGGCTCCCGTCAATGTTCCGTCGAACGCTGAACGAACACTGCAGCATCTCCGGCAACGCCAAAGGGGTTCGCGAGTCGGGTCGGGTCAACCCGGCAACCCGTGCGGGTCGGGTCCGGGTTTAAATCCTTGACCCGTTTACCTAAACGGGTCGGGTTCGGGTTGACCCGTTTATGCCCGGGTCAAATCGAGTTCGACCCGAACCCGACCCGTCGACCCGAATTGACACCCCTACATGTGTACTAGTCGGCTATGCTCTCTCTCTCTCTCTCTACATGGGAGGGGAATTGCCTAAACATTCTTGTAATAAAGACAAAAATAAATAAATTGAGGGAAAAAATTGCCTAAAGAATTGTATAATAATAATAATTTAGGGGTCCCCCGGGCTCAAAGGAGTTTCGCCCATGTGTGTACAAGTTATACACAGTACAATGTGTGTACAAGCTATACATAATGTGCGTACAATGGCAAAACCATTGAATGATTGCTTTAAGGTTTTAATATTAACATGAAAAGGGCAAAACCATTACAACATCAACAACAACATCAAGCCTTTCTCCCACTACGTGGGGTTGGCTACATGAATCCTTTTTCTCCATTGTGTCCTATTAAAAGTCAAATTCTCGTTTAAATCTAATAAAGAAAGGTCATTCCTAATATTTTATAATCAAGTCTTTTTAGGTCTACCCCTACTTTTCTTAACATAAGTCAAATCTAATACCTCTATTCTCCTAACTGGGTCATCGCAAGGCCGCCGTTTTATGTGACCAAACCATCTAAGGTGACTCTCTCTAATCTTATATTCTATTGATCTACTCCAACCTTTTCACGTATATGCTCATTTCGTATCCTATCTCTAAGGGTAAAGCCACTCATCCACCTGAGCATCCTCATCTCTACGAGATAAAAAAAAGTTATGACTAAAAAAAGCATCAAGTTTGATCGAAGGTGAATCAAACTACATGGGATATGAGTCTAGTTATAAATTATATACACTTGATAACTCATTTTTATTTTAATGTGAAACTAGGTTTATGTATGGTAAGTTTTCTATCTAGTTCAATTTGTGCTTATCATTATTTGTTTGACAGGTCTCATGACTTCATGTGATTTCAATTTTCAAAATTTATAATTTCACGTTATTTATTATTAGAATTTGCACTTTGATTTTCATAATTTTTAAAATTTCAAAAACTTCCCTTAAAATAACTCACATATAAATTTTATATTTTGTGTGTTAATTAATTATTAATTATATTAATTATACTATTGGTATTTAATTAAGTTAAGTTAATTAATTAATTAACCCCCTCACTTTCCAAAATTTAAATCCCTCAAGAATTTTATTTTAGAAAATTCCCCCCTTAGGGATTTTATTTTAAGAAAACCATCTATTAAATGCATTTAATTAATTATATTAAATTAATTTGATCCCTATTACACCTCATCAATCCATGAGATCAATTCTCATTGGAAGATTTGAAATCCCTTTTTTCTAATAGTTTCA